TAAAGGCGGTGATGAAAGAACAGGCAGACTTCAGGAATGGTGAATGTTCCGGCGATGATGAGTGATCCCAATAGGTTGTCAACACCGTCGGATTGAAGTGCAAAGATGGGCGCCTGAGAGCCAGTAAGGATTACGGGCTTGCCTAGGTTCTCCATCATAAAGGAGAGCGCAGAGGCCGTGTAAGCCAGAGAGTCTGTTCCGTGCAGAATGACAAAACCGTCAAAAAGATGATAGTTTTCTTGAACACATGAGGCCATGGCATCCCAATCATGGGCGGAGATGGAACTAGAGTCTAGCAGTGGGCTGAACTCGATGATACCATAGCGGACATGGCGATTGTATGCTGTAGCAGGTGTGCGAAGACTATCAATCTGGATCTTTTCTCCATCACGAACTGCTGGGAGTGTATCTGGATGTCCGTCAGTAAGGGTCATCTAGAGTAATAATTGTCTCATCCCCCCCCCCTTTTTTTTTCTTCTTCTTTTTTTTCTTTTTCCTTGCCGTCAGCCTTATGAGGCCATCGAGCTTTTAACTTTTCATACAAAGGCTTAAACAATGAGCCCCCTATGCCCGTATCTCAAAAGTCGTATTTGTTTCATACCTGGGTTCGAGAAGTCATTGAACGAGGGGCGAGGAGCCATAGCATTCTCCAAGAAGTTGTCTGTTGGCTGAAGACCATCAGGGCCTTGCTGCATACAAATCGTTCCTCCTGTGCCAATGATAAGGACCCGAGACTCGGGGTAATTGGTCTCGGGCGCCTTCAAGGCAGGAGAGCCACGAGAACCAGTCTCGCTCATTTTGAAGGTGTTGAGAGATGTATGGGAGTGATTGAGCTGATAGATAAGAGCTGATGTGAGGATAAGATAGCGACTCAGTCAACGCATCAACGATTGCACTTGTAACAGAACAATTCTTTTAACAGAGATGAAGAAGAAGAATAAATCACGATCAAGATGAGGAGAAGTGAAAATTTATCTACGGCACGCGCAACGTTAATAAATAAGGTAGGTAGGTACGTAGGTAGGCTAGGGGAGCAAAGAAAACACAGGACCTCAATCCTAAACGACAAAAATACTTAGGTAATTTAGTATAAATTTAGGATATCTTATTAAGTTTAGGGTATATTTACTAAGCTTAGGATGACCTTTGCTAAGTTTATTCTGACACCCTACAGTAAGGTTCGCTGTTTTTTTGGCCCCCGAGGGTAGGCAGGTAAACTAAACCTTGTGGACAAAGAAGCCATCAAGTGGATCCTATCGAGGTTATGAAGGGGTAACAGAAACTCGATATCTCGCGGGGACTGGCGAGTAAGAGGCGATGATGTTTGGTGTATGCGATAGCCACGGAGACTAAGTATTAAAGAGGAAATCTATTGGTGTCAAATCAAGGCCTGGAGTTGCACTGCTTGGTTGTCCTAAGCGTTTTGATTACTGAATTGGTTAATGAGAAAAATGGGATGTGGTATCTCTGGTCTGGTGTTGATGATCAGTAACAAGTGGCAGGTGATCAAGAGGATATTTTCGCGGTGAAGAGAGAGACTAGATTAATCGAGGCAGAGCAGATTGATATTCATTGAGCATATCCATTATATCTTAAACTAAACTCATAAGTGACCTCATTAACAATCCAGATATCCCATCTATTACCCCAGATATCAACATCTCCAAGACGCGGGGAGAATGAATAATAATTACTGGCACTGGCCATTTACTTTCCTTACCTACTTACTGAACGTCCGTGGGTTGGGCTGCATTTTTCGACACATCTTCTATTGGCAAAGGCTAGAACAATGTGGATTCCCTTCTATTTTGATGCTTCACAGCACCACCTAGCGGATACAATGGAGAGCGACCTCCGATTACGGGCCCCTACAATAACAGGGACTTAATCAATACGTCGGGTTCACAACGAATGCAATCAAGGATACTAACTTTAATAAATTAATGATACTCCCAAGATCTTGATAGAGGCCCGGACTGCCAATAGTTATGGTTAGACGAAACTTTCCGTGATATCCATGCTGTTTATGTTAGCATAGGCAGCAAGCTTTCACATGCCCAAACATCAGCAACATGCTTCAGCCATTAATATCAGGTAAACGGATCTTCAAGGTCAAATACAGCCATGGCTTCAGTTTGATTATATAATGGGGTCCGGGGTGTATTGGTCAATTCAATATACAGACCAAGTATGACGTATGCTCTAAGATCACAATCATTTTTTCGCTGCAAGACAATCGCCAGAAAAGTGAGAGAATCTCAACAATGACGATCATAAGCCCAGATGATAAAATGGATCCAACAAACGCAAACGCAAGGGTCTTCAGGTACGTACCCCTGGAACACCCATCCCTTCTCTTGCCGCTAAGCCTCTTCTGTGCATTCTGCCAAACTCTAGGCCTGACCGCCTTCGTGCGTCTCTCAACTCTCGTCTTGGCCTTATTCAAAGGACATTGACAATCAAGGACAATCAACCAACAAAAACATCTATAATAGAAAACCCCGCTCACTCTCCTTTTTAAAATACCAGCGCCGACTCTTCGACTCCTCCTTAGGCATCAACCCCAAAGCGCCAATCCTTATTCACACTTTTCCCGATGATTCACGATTAAGAGGCGATGCGAATCTTGTGAGAAGCCTCCCAGCCTCACTCACTCTTTCGACGCGCGCATCGTCAACTCAACTCTTCCAACAACCAACACCACAGATAAAATGTCAGACTCGACGCCTGATGGCACTTCGCCTCGAACCTTTGCGCTCAACCACTTGAGGCCAAAATCAAGTTTCAAGGGATGCTCCCGTATTTCCGACTATGAATTGCTAGGCAAACTGGGAGAGGGAACCTTTGGGTACGAACCCCTTGGTCGGCGCATATATCGTCGATCATCGCGACCGAACAACAATCGCATATACTAATGGAAGTTCAGTGAGGTTCACCGTGCCCGCTTGCGCAAGACCGGCACCCTTGTCGCCTTGAAAAAAATCATCATGCATCATGAAAAGGATGGCGTATGTCGATGCACCACCCCGCCCAAGAACTGCACTGACGATGATCATAAGTTTCCCATTACCGCCCTTCGCGAGATTAAGCTTCTCAAGCTCTTGTCGCACAAGAACATCCTGAGACTCGAGGACATGGCCATCGAGCACCCAACCAGACAGAGTGAGTAAACACGGCTGTTCCTTGGTTGATCCAACTGACCATCCCCTTCAGCCGATAAGCGCAAAAAGCCCATCGTATACATGGCCACTCCCTATATGGATCACGATCTTTCCGGTCTTCTCGATAACCCCTCGGTCCATTTCAAGGAGCCCCAAATCAAGTGCTACATGCTGCAACTGCTCGAAGGCCTGCGATATCTTCACGACAGCCGCATTCTGCACCGAGACATGAAAGCTGCCAACCTGCTCATCAACAACCAAGGTATCCTTCAGATTGCCGATTTCGGTCTCGCCCGACACTACGAAGGAGATGTTCCCAAGGCTGGCCAAGCTTACGGCCCAGGAAGGCGAGATTATACTGGTCTGGTAGTAACTCGATGGTACCGACCACCCGAGCTTCTACTACAATTGCGGCAATACACCCCCGCTATTGACGTTTGGGGAGTAGGGTAAGCGTGGTTCTGGAATTCCCGATTCTTCTTGGTTCTAACAATCAATGTAGCTGTGTCCTGGGCGAGATGCTCTTCGGAAAGCCCATTTTGGCTGGCGAAAGTGACGCACATCAGCTGGACATGATCTGGGACTTGATGGGATCTCCTACTGAAGACAATATGCCTGGGTGGAAGCAGTTGCCTGGTGCTGATCATCTATCCCCTCGGCCACGAACTGGCAACCTCCAGAACAGATTCAGAGAGTAAGTCTGCATAGAACAATCTTCAAGGTCCAGTCACTAATCCCGTTTTTTAGGTACGGCTCGGGTGCAGTCTCACTATTGAAAGAACTTCTTAAACTGGACTGGCGGACACGAATCAACGCAGTGGACGCCCTACAACACCCATGGTTCAAGATGGCGCCTCTGCCGTTAGAGCCCCACGAGATCCCTGTTTACGAAGAAAGCCACGAGTTAGATAGAAGAAAGTTCCACGACCGCAAGGCTGCCTTGCCCCCTGCCCCAAAGGGTGGGACTGTAGGTATTGGCCCAGATGCGAAGGGCGCCACAGCGGGCTTCAACAGCAATGAGCCTTACGGAAATGGCCGGAATGGTGTGAACGGGGCCAGATATCGCAACGGACCAGATGAAAGGCGTCCAGCTTGGCAACGAGATCGAGGCGCTGGGTTACCGCCACGACCGCCTCCGAACGACGACGTGGACTATCGTGAACGAGGACCCCCTCGTGGGAGAGGAGCACCTGGGCCAAGAGCCCCAGATGTCGACACGTACATACCCGCCTATAACCGGGATGATCCAGGCCGACGGAGGGACGACCGCCCTCCTCCACCACCCAGAGATGACCGTCGGCGACGCAACAGCAGAGAAGACCGACGTTACGACAGAGACCGTGGCACCATCAGCCGCAGTAGGTCACCCAGGCATGATCGGTCAAGAGATCGAGACAGGCCAGAGCGTGATAGGCCAGAGCGTGATAGGCCAGAGCGTGATGCATACCGGAGATAGGATCCAGCGTCAGCGATACCGCCTCACGTGTACACAGGCCACAAAGTGAGCAAGGATCCATTACCACGTCGAGGAGGGACGAGACTAGGAGGTGTATAGTACAGGCGTTTGAAGGCGAACAACCGAAATTAATCACATGTCGATTCGGGCATAGCAGGACATGGCGCAACGGATTGATACGACCCAAGTAAACAAGTAAGGAAGAAGAAGATGAATATCCTTGGAAAGGCTGAGTGTCTAGTCTAGCATTATTACATGAGCGGCGCATGGTATCAGAGGATTCTAGCAGGTTGATCCTCTCGTCTAAGCACATATATTATGGGATTATCCATAGCGTAGAAGTTTTCAGCTGAGCTTTGATGTACTATAGTACTTATACATGATCAATACTCTGAATCATCATCGTCCTCCTCGTGAATGGTTTGCGATAGTAAGCCACCTGGTCGGCGCCTTTGACTGGAGGAGTCAAGCCACTGCCAGTCGAGCTCAGTGCCTGAAGATTGCGAATCTCGTCGACTGCTGGTCTCAAGAAAACTGCCCTTAGAAGTTGACCCGCCTGAGTCAATATCCTCGCTCTGCATTCCTAGGTAGGACGTGATGATGGATGAGAATATGGCCAAGCCGATGCCAGCCAAGATGCCGACGCCAGCTGCAGCACCAAACTAGGAGTTGTTAGACTGAGATTCTTTCACATGAGTGATGGCCTTACAAAAGTATATAGCGGCTATAGAATGTTAGCTTAATCTCAACCCAACTCAAATTGATGTGACCACATACCTCTAAGCTAGCCAGAAACGCCCATACAGAGCGTACGCCAGCAAGTGTGTAAGAAACGAGATAAATAGCCGGTGCAAACACGACGAGAAGGATGTTGAGCAAGAAAGACAACGGTATGAGAATTAGGCGGAAAGGAAAGCTGATTATAGTGAAAAGCCGTGAGAAGAAGCCTGACCAGTTGAAGGAGAAGAGGAAGCTGAAGACAGCGACAACGATGTCGAATGCGAGTATGAATGGGGATACTGTGGGTGAGGCCTGCTCTGATGTTGCTGCCACGATTGTGGAAGTTGGGGGTGATGACTCGGACATTTTGGGTAGAAGAGGTTGTGGTGTTGATGGTGAGTTGGGTGAGGTTGTCTATAAGGGAGGGAGGATTACATCACTACAGATATGGAAGAGTGATAGGGGTTCAAACAAGGGAGCTCAGTATAGTAACGTGCTTAGATGAGAATACTCCTGGGAGATTTTCGAGTTAATTAATGAATGGACTGTAGTAAGTCAAGGCATGTTACAATTCAGAGCTCCCTTGAGCTGTTGTAGATTGTGGAGGTATAGGAAGCTCAAGCCTTATCGAGATGCAATCCATTGGGTGGTTGGCTTGCTGGAACAGCTCTCGGTGGATACCTCATATCTAGCTTGTCTGTTGGTGTTAGTGACGGCCAGCTAGTGACTTGAACAATAGGCCTTTAAATGCCCTGAACAGGAGTACCTAAAGACCGTCACCTATCAGCCTCCCCACCACGATTCAACATCCCACCCGTTCTCTTAGGTTCCCTTCATCCATTTCCATCATCGATCAATCTCTCAGGCCCATCCATCTCCACCCCCGCGACCAACGACGAACAAACTCAACGAAACGACCAAAACCAAAAACAACAACCCTTTCCCAGTGAACGCATCTAGGGCGACGATATTTTGGACACAAACATACAAAACTAACAAAAGCGTCGATTTCATCAGCGACACCAAAAATATTGCATCTGAATCATCATCACGCTACACAAGGACCCCGGATTTCGCACCAAACCCTGCCGTGCCGCCTCAGGCCGTTTCTCGCTCGTCCTCCCTCTTCTGACCTTGACGTTCAATTGGCGCTGAAAGCGCACGTATAATCCTTTCCAACAATCGACGTATTCGACGAGATCTGCATCATCGAGTTTGACATGCCGTTTGTCATATTCCCGATAAGATACCGATAATCCGACCTTACCCCCCAACGCGAGCGCCATCATCACCAAGATCACACCCTCAAGTCGCAGAGCACATCCCTCGGAAGGGAGTAGGAGGTAGTAAACATGGGTAACAACCCGTCTTCGTCCTCCAAACCGACCACGCCGACGACCTCGGCTCCTGGCTCGGCCCACGGTCATCATCATGGCCATGAATCTCCCCGACATCATCTCCGAAAAGATGCCCGCAATATCATCACCGGTCACGCGCATCGCTCTGCCGCGCCTCCGGAGCCTTCTATGGCGCAAGCCCAAGGCTCAACCGTCATCAACCGACCCAAGAGCTTGCCTCCTACCGCTGTCTCGTCTCTGAGCGGCTCTCCTCATAGCAACTTCGCCGCTGTTCACAAGACTGCTTCTTCCTCGGATGCTAAGGGCATTGCTGAGAAGCATGCAGCTGGAACTCCTGAGCCTAAGCCTGCCGAGAGCAAACCCGCCGAGTCTAAACCTCAGTACCGCGACGAACCTACCAAGCCTGTCGATGTGCCTATGGAGTCATCTTCTCTTCGATCACACCAATCCGCTCACGTAAATGACACAGCTCTTATTCCCAATAGCAGCATCACAGACATGTACCTGACTAGGCCCCCGCGCTTACCCCTCCCTATCGATGAGGAGGTTCATACCCCTGGATCACCTATCTTGGCGCCAGAGTCAGATCTGTCGATACCTGATATTGAGCCTATTGACTCGGACACAATCACTCGCAAGAGTTCCGCCCTCAGTGCTACTACAGTTGATGAAGAGGATGGCGAGGAGCTGCGGGTTGATAAGACGAGACCTGTCGTTCAGACCAAGCTGGAGTGGCTGAGCGGAGGTGACAAGGTTTATGTGACAGGTACCATCTTTCAATGGAATCGCAAGCAACGATTGCATCCCATGTAAGTGCCATGAAGTTATCTATCCTTTCTGCTCTGAGACACGGGTCGATCACTACGTCGTCTGTGTTTCCGTGGCTGCTTTGTGGTCTCAGATGACTGTCGCACACGATTCGTCCGGCCTGCGACAAGGATTTGGCCCATATGGAGTCGAGATATAGTTGCTGACATATAACCTATCTAGCGAGGGTCGTCCTGGTTGTTTCTCGACAACAGTCTATGTTCTTCCAGGTACACACCATGTCCGCTTCCTGGTGGACGGTATCATGCAGACATCTCCTGATCTGCCAACCACCGTCGACTTTGGCAACAACCTTGTCAACTATATCGAAGTGAGCCCCGACGATGCTCACAAGAAGCAAGTTCCTGCACCTCCTGCTGGCCCTCAAGGCGAGGTTCAAGTTGCTCCCGCTGCTCAGACAGTCTCACAAACTCAGGAGAAAGCCTCGAAACCGCCGCCCCAGCCAAAGGGCAAGCCTGTGCCACCTCCTGAATCGTACCGAAGCCAAATTCCACAGTACCTCGTGGACTTTGACCAAGCTGAGGATTCGCAAGCGTACCAGTATGCCGTGAATGCCATTGAAAGGCTACCAAATCCTCCTGCGCTACCGGGTTTCCTGAGCAAGCCTATCTTGAATGCGGCGACCCTTATGAAAGACGACAACAGTGTGCTCAACATGCCAAACCATACGATCCTGAATCATCTTGCCACCAGCAGCATCAAGAATAACATTCTTGCTGTTTCAGCCACAACTCGGTACAGAAATAAGGTACGTCTGCTATACCAAGTGCCAAAAGGATGATGCTTACTTGATGCAGTATGTCACAACAATCGTCTACAAGCCCACATCCTCAGATGATTGATAAGACACGATGGACGAACATAATGATTGGGTCATGAGTCAGACCCCCTTATGCCTTGGGCCTGCTTTCAGACATGCGGGCTCGAGCTACGATGTGATGTTGAATGCTTGCTATGTATTAGAGGTCTGGGAGATAAACAAGGATTAGCTGTCTAGTATTCTTAGTTTTGGTGGATGAGCAGTGGCGATGAGTTACATAGGGATGGCGACATGAGCTGAGAATAACGAGGGATGTCAGGGATTCTTGGTGCCATGATGAAGCTGATGCGAAAGCTCATGGATTAGCTTCAGCAAATACATATAAACATATTTAACCATGACAACTTCTTGTGATCTTGTTCTTTCTAATTATTTACCGAAGAGTTCAGTCTCTCCATTTGATAAAGACCTCATCGGTTCTGAATCTCTGTGTACATGTACTCTCTTCCAATGATGTCCTGAACCCTGTCTCATACGCCAACAAACCAGCATGCGCTATCATGATTCCGTTATCAATGCAGAATCTCTCATCGGTAGCATAAACTGATCCTCCTCGCTCCCTTGCCATATGTCCCATCATCTCCTGCAACCTCTCATTACAGCCCACACCTCCCACGATGAGGACCTGGGATGACCCAACATGCGCCATAGCCCGCTCTGTGATCTCAACTAACATTGCGAATACTGTCTCTTGCAGTGAGAAACATAAATCCTCTGGTGTGAAGTCTGCGCCAGCCTTCATCTGTGCAGCGAGTGCATCCGCTGAGGCTAGAATTCCAGAGAACGAACAGTCCATGCCCTTGACTGCGTAGGGAATATCGAGGAGTTTGCTTCCCTTCTTGGCGAGCTGTTCGATATTGTAACCTGGCGCGGGATCGTTGCTGATTTCCAACGTGCGAGCGAATCGATCGAGACAGTTTCCAACTGCTATATCAAGTGTTTCGCCAAATATCCTGTATCGCTGCTCGGCATACGCAATAACCTGCGAATTACCACCCGAAACGTATAGCACAACCGGGTTATCAGCACCAGTGATATATCTCCCCATCTCGATATGTCCCACGCAATGATTCACTCCCACAAGGGGTCTATCCCAGAGTAAACTCAATGCTCTAGCCGCAACAGCGACGGAATTCAGCGGGGCGCCCATACCCGGGCCTTTCGTGTAGCAGATACAATCGACATCTTTGGGTGTGGTTTTCGCTTCGGCGAGGGCTTCGCGTGCGAGACGGACGAAGTGGGCGCGGTGGTGGGCTGCTGTGTCTTTGGGGAGGAAGCCTGTTCCTGGAGGAGATACGAAGGTGTCGCGCAGGTTGGAGAGGATTTTTGTCTCGGTGGGAGTGTGAAGAATGACGCCAATTCCGAGTTTGTTGGCGGAGCCTTCGCAGCCGAGGGCGATGTAGGAGGATTTGTCTTTGAAGGCCATTTTGTATGTGAGGTTGAAGATGGGAAGTTTAAAGGTGGGGGTATCGAGATGATGGTGTTGATGTCACTGCCTAAGCTGGATGGACGTTGTCAACTTTATTGTCAGATTTGAACAGAAATACAGGGGAATATATAAACAGTATAATTATTATTAAAACTATATTTCGAATTGTCATAAATGTTGGCTCAGTCATGTCAAGAAATGGAAGCAATAAAAAGACGTCTCTAATCGATAGAGGGGCAGATCTGATCTCGACCAGGCTTCACTGAGAACAAGGGCAGGTTTTGTAAAGCCCCTCGCTTAGGTAGTACCCTGTAATTATATCCATCCCACAGTGAGTGTCCTGACTGGTACCAGGCGTCATCACCAGCCACAACTTCTCTCGTTTCCGTAGCGGACGGGAGGCTCCGATTTACAATTTTCAGGGTCCAGCTAAACCGTGAACAGCAACGGTACATAAAACTCCGTAACAAGGGCAGATCTTTCGCACGGGAATAGTGGTGATCAACAAAAGAGAATATGCATACAACTGTGCAAGAACTGAATCATAAATGATGCCTTAATAGCACAATGACAAGAATAAGAATTATCAGATCTAACAACTTAACACTTATCGTGATAAGAACTACTTTAGATCATCATCAGTGCAAGTTTTTTTTCTGCTTCTTTTTTCGCTTTAGCACCAGCCACGCTGTCTCCATAAAAAGCTTCTACTGTGGCTAAAAGATGTGTAAATCCACAACACCCGGTTCGCCGGCCACTTTTCCTTCACCCGCAGCCCGCCCTCCACTCGAAAGCCTCCTCTATCACTCGCATTTCACACTCGAGAGCTTTTTCCCACTGTCTCATACCATTAAATCACCATCACAGCTTGCATACGCTTCTCTTCATGGCACTAGCAGGTATTTTTCTCTTTGTTTCGAGTTTCTTTCTC